GTAAAATAACCCAGCGAGGGACAGTGACAGTGTCAAATTCAGAGAGAATGGAAAAATTGGTTAGCCTGAACCAATAACATCTCCAGAAGAGGTTTGTTGTAATGGACTAAAATGTACAGTTCTTACTTTTATTCACTATTCAATAATTATTACATACATACAATGAATAATAAAGTAAATAATACATTTTTGGTCTGTTCCTTCGTTCTATTTCTTATCAAAAACATGTCCATTGTGCTAAATAGCAACAAGCTAGCTGAAGAGCAGAGCAGCTCGATTAAAAAACTAAACTTTAAACAAACTCACTGGATTGCATTACAATGGACTTTGTGCTCCTCTGTTTGTGCTGTGTTGATGTAGTAATCACAGTCAACAGATCGACAGCCACATCAGATACTAGGCTTTTTACCCATTGATGTTGGGCAAAGTCTACATTCAAAAGAGTCAAATGACTTTATTTTCTTCCTTTTTTTAAATTATATTCTCTCTAGTTTGAGTCAGGACAACCTTTGACTTGATTTTTTGCTTCTAGACCCAGTGTGGACAGTCTGTGTCTGTTCGTTTGGTCACTTGTCACGTTGTGTTCACGGCCCCCAGCATTCCCTCCACCAACCCCCCCATCAAATCATGTTGTGACCCTCTGCTGTGGTGGCCTGTGACTCAATTTTGCTCCAAAAACAGATCTGTCAAAACAGTCCACTCAGTTGGACTGGGATTTTGTGGCATTAACAGAAATGAGACTGTCACTGACGCTCCTGTTTCTCCAGCTGTGGAACAACGTACAGGTTTCTCTGTCTCAGAATGGTAAGACCATCATTTTGTGTACGGAAGATTTGAGAGAACCTGAAAGAACATTTTTGATTGTTTTTGTTTTTTTTTCAGCCTGTCAAAAGCTCCCACTTGTCCTTCATGCCCACATTTCAGATGATACCGAAAAAGTACAGTACCAGGCAGGAGATGAAATAAATTTCATCTGTGAAACTGGATATATATCAGGTCCAACCATCAGATATATGTGTACAAACACTGGCTGGGCGACACTCCGTCAGGGGACATGTTACTGTAAGTGTGACATTGTAGTAGAAAATGTAAATGTATTTATTTTATTCATAAGTGATGTATTAGATGACTTGTCATTAACAATAATCATAACTATTATTATTATTACTAACGATAATTATTATTTTTGCATTTTTAAGATTAAAGTCAGATTAAAGTTTTAAGATTAAAGTCATTATTTTATTGCAGCTCCTTTTTTCCCCAAGAAATAACTGAGAGTAACTTATCTTTACTCTCAGCATTTGAGCTGTTTTTTTGTTGCTAACATGTAAATAAATGAAGTTAATTTCATTAATTAAGAAAGATGGAATCATTAAGTCAATTTGAATCCTAGATCGAAATAACTACTCTTGTTTAATGTTCTTTCTTGTTCCAGTGAAACCATGTCCACTACCTGATGAAACTCCCAATGGCTTTTATCAGATTATCCATGGTATAGACCTTGTTTTTGGAACGACTATCCAATACTTTTGTAATAGTGGGTATGTGGACCTGGTACAATTAGACACAAGTACAATTATTTAAAAAAATCTTTAGTCATTTTAAGTAATACTTGGACATTTACAATCATTGCAGGTATTACATGGTAAGTAAGGAAGACACACGGACGTGTCTGCTGGCAGGCTGGACCAATCATGTGCCAATATGTGAACGTAAGCTACGATACTTATATTGTTTTGATACTATGTGGGTTTTGTGCAAATGGCAGAAGAGTTTATGATTTAATTTTCAGACTAACACTAAAACATACTTAACATACGGGCTCCCCATGCTCCCTTTTCTGGATGTATAACCAAGGATGAACAGCATTACAAATAAGCAGATCAGATGGACAGAGAGACATGGAGGCAGATGGATCCTCTATGGCGACTCATGAATGGAAGATAAAGACAACTTGAACTATCCAGATTAATTTTTCAGGTCAACACTTTTGCAACTTAAATCCAATTACTGCTGTGTTTCTCTCTCTCTCTCTCTCTCTCTCTCTCTCACACACACACACAGTCCCAATAAAACATGAAAATATATTAAGAAAAATTAGGAATACTGACTTTTTTCAATTAATCATGTCTAATAGTGGTTAAACCACAGATTCCCTGTTATTAACCTAAATAAAAATAACTCAAAAACGTAATGAATGAAAGAATTTTTTTTTCCTCAGATTTGACCTGTGAACTGCCACTTGCTGACGAAGGAATGACAGTGGAAGGATTACAAATGAATGATGAGCCCATACCACCAGACCGCTTCCTCAGATTCAGCTGTGCCCTACCTGGGCAACACCTAAATGGTGAGGCGGTGCTGCTTTGTGGTAAAGATGGGAAGTGGAATCATCCGTTCCCCACATGTGAAGGTAAAGGGCTTTTTCTAAAGGAATGATGGTTAGTCAATATATAATGTGGTTAAAATAAGTTAATATACGTATTTAATTTCTTTAGAGATCTCCTGTACGGTTGGGGACATGCATCCTAATCTCACAGCAACTGAAGTAGGACCAGTAGATAAAAAAGTTAAAGTTGGACAAAAACTCACATTTAAGTGTGATGAAGGATACACACTGGACAGATCTGGAGAAGTTCAGTGTTTAGAGACAGGCCAGTGGAGCGCCCCCTTCCCAACTTGCAATAGTAAGTAATAACATTGCCATTCTTCCCAAAAAGGTTTCTCAACTTCTGACATAGGGAAGCATCACCATTATCACTTTCTGCTCTCTGCTACCAAGACAGGCGTGCTAACCGCTACACTATGGAACTGACGAAATATTATGTATATATATAAATATAATATATATTTAAAATATATATTAAAATTATGCAGTTTAACCTAACAAAAAGGTTGTCAGATATACAACATAAAAAGAACATAAAACACTAAGTAATTCAAATGACTTAAACTGTATATATTTATATTTATACTTTAATTAAATTAATACAGGACTAAAATGGGCACCAAGGTTTACATTACTATTTTTTCATTAACATGTTTTAAACAACCTTTATTTTGTTTTCAACCAGACAAATGTATAATCAAAGGGATACCAAGCAACGTGAACATAAGAAACTATAACGAAGGAGATCAGCTAAGTCCTGGACAGAAGGTACAGCTAAGTTGCCGCATTCGTTCTCACGTTGTGCAGGGGAAGTCAGAGATTCATTGTTTGGCTAATGGTCAATGGAGTCATCCCTTCCCAACATGTGGAGGTAGGTCACTTTTTCATGGTCATCTTGGGAACTGCATGGATTCAGCTAAAGTTTAATGGCATCTGTAAATTTAAACCAGTGGTTCCCAAAGTCCAGTTTGTCATCTGTACATGTTACAAATAGTATATCAAAGGTGTCAGTATGAAAGGTAGAAAGGCAGGAGTTTAAGTTCAATGTTGCGAGACGCAGACCGTGTAGTTCCACCTATTCCCAAAGGGAGGGAGCTGGTGCTATGTCCGCTCGGGTCCAATGTAATCCTGCAAACTAGTCAGAACTCTTTGCATTAAAATCAGGAAAAACATAAGATTTTGAAGAGAGGCATTTATTTTTCACAAAGTAAAGAGACAGCATCTAATCACAGGACAACAGGCTAAGATGGCACCGTAATCACCAAAAACTACATCTTTTTTTGATCGATAATATTTTACACATACACTTTTACTTATGATTAAGTAAATCACCTTAACCAAATGTTATGTTAAAATGTAAAAATAAATAATAAAATGGTGATGAATTTTAATAGAGATTAATTTTTTGCTAACCTTTTGTGGTACTGCAGCCAAAACCACTTTTCCACATATCTTTAAAATCAATATAATAGCTCATTTTCACATAAAACTTGTTTATCTCATGTTTATTTACGTTAGAGTGGTAACATAGGTGAATATGAACCAATGACCACAGCAATGGTTCATTCAACAGATTCATAAAAGCAAAAAAGGGAGACTGTACATACAGTGGACTGGTTTTTAACTAAAACTCCCAATATGGATGGATGGATGGATGGATGGATGGATGGATGGATGGATGGATGGATGGATGGATGGATGGATGGACTTTGTTGATCCCAGGCTGGGAAATTACAGAAATTAAATATAATTGAAGAGTCATTCCAAAAACTTCATTTCCTGTGCCACCTTTTTTCAGCTCCACTAGGATGTGAGCAGCCCCCAGGTGTGGACAATGCAGAGATCATGGGAAGTCTAAAGGCAAGTTATGCACATGGAGAGGTGGTCAAATACATCTGCCCTGAATACTACTTGCTGGAAGGTCAGAATTTCAAAAAATGCGAAAACAGTATATGGACCGGAAAAGTTGGATGTTTGAGTAAGTATCACTTTTATGATTTCTTTTATGTTGTAGTATTTGACAAAAATATAAAAATGAGAACAAAATGTTATTCTGACCATTTCTAAAAATGTTGTTCTCTTGCATAACTGCCGTTTTCCCGTTAGTGCTTCTAGAGACAAAAACCTAATGTAGATGCTCTTTTATTATCAACTTTGATACTGAACCACCTTTACCTGCTATTCAAGGAACCTCCTAGAATATTGTTGGATGACGTTTTAACTTTAAATATTTGACTTTACTTGGTTGCAGGTTTAAAGAATGTATCAATATCTCATTTCTAATGTCTTCTCAAACTTAGGTGGATAATTATTGCGTGTGCTTTACAGTGAAGTAATGTGTCTACGTCATCTGTTGCAGCACCTTGTACTGTGAACAGAGGAGCCATGAACAACCACAACATCAGATTCAAATACAGAAGAGACGATAAGCTGTATTCTACTCACAACGATTTTATCGAGTTTGTCTGTTCCAAAGGACGTCCTAGTGGTAACACTGGAATGCGTGTGCAGTGCAATAATGGTGTGATTATTCTACCAACTTGCCAATAGAGGCATAAAATATTGTTCTATTAAAATCATAGCTCATATTAAACAAATATAAAAACAGTTAATTCAGCTACCTACATAAGTAAATCCACACGAATCAAAGTCTATACAAGAATATAAATATAAAACAATCATCCTAAATGGGGAAAAAAATCTACAGCTTAAGATGACATACAAGTGGAATATGGTCCGACTGCAGTTGGTGTTTGTAATGTGTATGGCTTTAAAACCATCATATAATTTTCTTAAGGCTCTCAATGCTTTAAATTTTACTTTTATTATGAATGTTTCCTGTACTGAATATGGTTTATAGAATAGAATAGTCTTTATTGTCATTGTAACACGGGGTATAATGAAACTGATTATTAAAGGAAAGTTAATTTGACATGATTTTTCTATTTGTATTTCTTCCTTTTCACTGAAACAAAGCCATTAAACTAACATGTGATGGTAAAAATATAAAACGTTTAAATATAGGCTGGGCAAGGATTACATTTTAATTAATTGCACTATTACACAAAATTCAATAATTAAGTCAAAAGTAGTGTGTAGCACACTGTTATTTTAAATGTACAGTAATCCCTCTCCTGTCGCAATAGTTGCGTTCCAAGACCTACCGTAAAATGGGAGAAACTTCAAAGTAGAGGCAAGATAGTTATTATATGATTTACGTATATATTTATCCTTTACAAACTTCGCTCACACTGTTATCAACCCTCCCTAGACTGCATTACCCTTTCCCACACAATTATATGCACGGTAGCGTTGTATCATGGAAATATAAAACATACTGTACATATTAAATAAATTAAATACATGACCATGAAAAACAATGTCAAATGCATTCTAATTATAAATTAAGATGCAATACATATGCACATGAAAAGGTACATGTAGATGATGATGATGATTTTGCTGTGCGGTAATGTATGACGATGATGATAAACATAAGAAGGTGACTACCCCCTGCTGGTGGATTTTGGAGTGCTGTTTTAATGCTTAAGTAGAGTAAATTTTGGGGGGGGTTTGCATTATCCTGTATGTATGTGTTGCACAATGTTTTTTCATTTATTTATATACTTTTTTTTTCCTTTTTAGGCTAAAACATTATTATTTTCACAACATTTATGAAAATATTTGAAATGAAAAAATAAATGTATTTTTGGCGATATATCGAAAATGTCACGAGATCGAATAAAACAAAAATATGCGATGTACTGTGGGAGCAAAAGGACAACCACGATATAGAGAGGGACCACTGTACTGCCATATGAACAACAATGCCATAACATGTTTTTAGCAAACATTTTTAACATCAGCATTTTTAAACATTAGCAGTTAAATAAAATAAAATATTTAGGTGGCGCTTTGGCCCAGAGGCAATGTCTCTGTCATTGGTGTGGAACCCCAGGGTTCACCTCCTGGGCAAGTTCGAATCCCAGTTAGAGTGGTTGGTACCTTCCAGTGGACTCACCACCCGCAGGAAGGTTTAGGGGGGTTGGCACGGTGCAATGTGATTTGGGTGGCGACTGCTGCCCCCGCGACCCGGTAATGGATAAGCGGATGAAAATGGATGGATGGATGGATAAAATATTTAGTTTAAATCTCAACTATATTTTAACAAAATAAATGCCACAATTAAAACAAGCAATTTCTGAAGTAACAGAAACATGTTTCTTTTATCATAAGCATTCTACATTCAGTACAAAAGAGTGACACAAAGCACAAAATGGTTCACTACTTGTTTGATACAGACTTGCTGAATGTAACAATAATAGGTTCTGGGACATACAATAGTAGAAACTCTTCTTACTATTGTCATTGCACCCATTTGAATATCATTTCAAGTGTAACTGATTCAAAAAGAACACAAACAGTACAATTTTTCTTGTTTACTAGTTATATTTTTTAGAACATATCTCACGGGCAACCTAGGTAGACCACAGGGGCTACCAGGTGCCCCCGGGCACCACGTTGGTGACCACTGCTGTAAAGTCTATGTTTATTTTGGATTTCACAGTTGTTTGTCTAAATAGAACAGCAAAATTCCACATCTACCTGTTTTTCAGTTTGGAGGAAAGTCTGTGAATCCCTGTCTTACACAATACACGCTCTTTTTAATCTAACTACTGGCCCAGAGTATCAGTAAACTGCAGACTGGAGCTGAAGACAAAAACCCTGCTCAACAAAAATCATGAACTTGTCGCTGTTTCCCTTGTTCCTTCAACTGCTGGTGTTTGTGGATGTGTGTCTGTCACAAACTGGTAATAATCATTTATATTTTTATTAGAATACAATCGGTGGTCAAGGGCGAATATTGTAAGAAATGTTGTGTTGAAAGAACAATTTGAGGTTGCTGTTGGGAAAGGAAAAAGATGTTTTTATTTTACATTTTAACATTTTATTTAATCTTTTTATATGTACAACTAAGCTTATTTAAATATTGATTCTATATTCCCTTCCCAACATGTGGAGGTAGGTCACTTTTTCATGGTCATCTTGGGAACTGCATGGATTCAGCTAAAGTTTAATGGCATCTGTAAATTTAAACCAGTGGTTCCCAAAGTCCAGTTTGTCATCTGTACATGTTACAAATAGTATATCAAAGGTGTCAGTATGAAAGGTAGAAAGGCAGGAGTTTAAGTTCAATGTTGCGAGACGCAGACCGTGTAGTTCCACCTATTCCCAAAGGGAGGGAGCTGGTGCTATGTCCGCTCGGGTCCAATGTAATCCTGCAAACTAGTCAGAACTCTTTGCATTAAAATCAGGAAAAACATAAGATTTTGAAGAGAGGCATTTATTTTTCACAAAGTAAAGAGACAGCATCTAATCACAGGACAACAGGCTAAGATGGCACCGTAATCACCAAAAACTACATCTTTTTTTGATCGATAATATTTTACACATACACTTTTACTTATGATTAAATAAATCACCTTAACCAAATGTTATGTTAAAATGTAAAAATAAATAATAAAATGGTGATGAATTTTAATAGAGATTAATTTTTTGCTAACCTTTTGTGGTACTGCAGCCAAAACCACTTTTCCACATATCTTTAAAATAAATATAATAGCTCATTTTCACATAAAACTTGTTTATCTCATGTTTATTTACGTTAGAGTGGTAACATAGGTGAATATGAACCAATGACCACAGCAATGGTTCATTCAACAGATTCATAAAAGCAAAAAAGGGAGACTGTACATACAGTGGACTGGTTTTTAACTAAAACTCCCAATATGGATGGATGGATGGATGGATGGACTTTGTTGATCCCAGGCTGGGAAATTACAGAAATTAAATATAATTGAAGAGTCATTCCAAAAACTTCATTTCCTGTGCCACCTTTTTTCAGCTCCACTAGGATGTGAGCAGCCCCCAGGTGTGGACAATGCAGAGATCATGGGAAGTCTAAAGGCAAGTTATGCACATGGAGAGGTGGTCAAATACATCTGCCCTGAATACTACTTGCTGGAAGGTCAGAATTTCAAAAAATGCGAAAACAGTATATGGACCGGAAAAGTTGGATGTTTGAGTAAGTATCACTTTTATGATTTCTTTTATGTTGTAGTATTTGACAAAAATATAAAAATGAGAACAAAATGTTATTCTGACCATTTCTAAAAATGTTGTTCTCTTGCATAACTGCCGTTTTCCCGTTAGTGCTTCTAGAGACAAAAACCTAATGTAGATGCTCTTTTATTATCAACTTTGATACTGAACCACCTTTACCTGCTATTCAAGGAACCTCCTAGAATATTGTTGGATGACGTTTTAACTTTAAATATTTGACTTTACTTGGTTGCAGGTTTAAAGAATGTATCAATATCTCATTTCTAATGTCTTCTCAAACTTAGGTGGATAATTATTGCGTGTGCTTTACAGTGAAGTAATGTGTCTACGTCATCTGTTGCAGCACCTTGTACTGTGAACAGAGGAGCCATGAACAACCACAACATCAGATTCAAATACAGAAGAGACGATAAGCTGTATTCTACTCACAACGATTTTATCGAGTTTGTCTGTTCCAAAGGACGTCCTAGTGGTAACACTGGAATGCGTGTGCAGTGCAATAATGGTGTGATTATTCTACCAACTTGCCAATAGAGGCATAAAATATTGTTCTATTAAAATCATAGCTCATATTAAACAAATATAAAAACAGTTAATTCAGCTACCTACATAAGTAAATCCACACGAATCAAAGTCTATACAAGAATATAAATATAAAACAATCATCCTAAATGGGGAAAAAAATCTACAGCTTAAGATGACATACAAGTGGAATATGGTCCGACTGCAGTTGGTGTTTGTAATGTGTATGGCTTTAAAACCATCATATAATTTTCTTAAGGCTCTCAATGCTTTAAATTTTACTTTTATTATGAATGTTTCCTGTACTGAATATGGTTTATAGAATAGAATAGTCTTTATTGTCATTGTAACACGGGGTATAATGAAACTGATTATTAAAGGAAAGTTAATTTGACATGATTTTTCTATTTGTATAGATAAAGCTACAACATTTTTGTACAGATGCCTACCAAGTAGGACTTATGCTTTTAAAACATACTGTATGTTGTTTATTCAACCACATTGGAATGAAATTGGTTATGTTTCCCTCGAAAAGACCAATAGGTGACCAGGCTCACGGGTATGCTCATATACAATACTCATATACAGTATAGTATAGTATAAATACTATACTATACATTGATTCTCATTCTCTATTTACACAGCCAGTCACCTTGGAAACTATTTGGCTATCCAAGATCTTACAGAAATAACAACATTTAAATACTGCAACATAATCTGATCAGCGAATCAGTGTGCTACGGTATGCAGACCACCAATGGTCTGCATACCGTAGTTTAAGAACAGCATACAAGAAATAAACTGAATTCAAATACAAATATCTGCGCTTTGGTGCAATAATGCACAAAATCCAGCAAGTCCGTCTCCAGACTTGGATTCTTCATAAACCAAGGCTGACATCAATAAACACTCAAACCCATAACCTACCTTAAAAGTAATTATTGTTGTCGTTGTTCGTGGTATTTCTGCAGAATCGTTTTCTACTCATGGGTGGGAGTACTCCCAGAACCGGCTTATGCAGCAGGTGCCACCGCTCCTGCTCCTCCATGTGTCGTTTCGGTGTAACGTTTTACCGGTGGTGATGCTGTTTTTGTATACGTCTAGTTTTGGTCGTTTGAATGTCCATACATAAATTATTTTCGTAAACATTTAACTAAACGTGTCACCTGCGTGCAAGATTCACTCTTGCCCATGTAATGTTAAATGAACAGTCGACTTTTGTGTTCAGAAACTTTAGCGAAAGTTGAGCCTGGGACACATCCAAAACCACCGCCGCTTATGTCCTACTGCGCACGACTACGTATACACACAATACGTACATCAGGTTGTAATCACTACGCAGCCTTAACTAGTCCCATTTATGACTTTTACAGGTCCAAGGTTCCACCGCGTTTTCAGTAAATGGTGATGCCATCTGCGAGTGAGTTACTTAGTAAAATGGCGGCGGTTTTCCAGCCTATTTAAAGCTCAAACACCGAATATAACCTCGTCGGGACCAGGTTAAATGATCATCATGACACTAAGTTGTCATGATGATCTGGCTAAGTTAAAAGTGAGATACCCCAAAAATATTCATATGGAAATGTATATGGAAAAAATATAAATATATGCAAAAGTTACAGTCAAAAGCACAGTGAGTCTGACAAACATGCAGGTCGTGAAGATGGCATTTTAGGCTGTA